CATGAATGCCTTCGGTGTGAAATCGTTTGAAAAAAAATTATGCAAGAGACAGCAGCTGTGCTAGCAAGTAAGTCACTCTATGAGAAGGATCTGCAATGTGCCATGCAACTCCTGTGCTGTCAGTCATGGAGAATGTGAGCCCAGAAGAAACCCTTCCCAATGAGCTTAAAAGTGCTGATGAAAATGGACTTGAAACGGCACCGTTCATTTCCCATTGGGTTATAGCAGCATCTTCACCTAGCCTCCGTGGGTGGGAACCCATAAAAAAAGCTGCTTATTCCCTGAGAAGGCCACATGAGTAGGTAGAAGATAAGCTACCAAATGGAGAGTGGAACTTTGTGGGTTCCCTGGAGTGCACAGCCTACATCTATGAAGAGCCTGAAGCTCTGCCCAGCCCGCCGGGCACGAGGGTGTCCCAATCTCATCCCAGCAGACAAAACACGCCATGCTGTCAGGTCTGTTCAGTGTGGTGCTCTGAGAGTGGAAACACAGAGGTGTCCAACATATTCTTCTCTTCCTCCTAGTCTTCCCACAGCAGGGCTGAAGGAGGGTCCATCCTCTGGCAGCTTAGCTGGTGTGCTAAGCTCCTTCCCTGGGCAATGATATGCATTACTAGAGTAACAGTCGCTCTCCAGAGCAAGAAAGCAGGGCCCTAATATGCTAGACATTACATTGACACTAAATTGGTGATACTGCTCACAAGCTCATAAGCTTAGGAGCTTTTAAGACAAACATGGTGGGAGGAAGGAGTAAAATACATAAACACAGTCAGCATAAAGATATACATTCACGGGGCTTGCATGTATCACCATAATGTGGTCATGGTTTCTGTTACACAGAGACTTCCCGATCACAGTCACAGCTTAGGAAAGGGAATCAAAGAGTATTTAATTTCACTGATTTTTATAGGAACAAATCAGGAGTGCTGTTGTCAGTTTATGCCTTGGAACATCTCAAAAAGAAATAAGCAAGGGTCCCACAGGCCCTTGGCTGACACTAACCCTGTCTAAACTTGGCTCCTTTCAGAAATGTGTTACAGCCATTGTGAGTGAAACAAATAAATCAATTAAAAAATTTCCTGCCAGCAGCAATGCCATTAGCTTTTTCCAAAAACTCTTGCCATTTTGCACAGGTTAATGGAAGTCTCTTATTCTGAGCAAGCTGCTCTGCCTGTTGAAAGGAGCAGAGGTTTCACAATGTACCGAGAGTTGCTTGATTACTATTCTGCCGTATCTCCCTGTGTTTCCACAGAGGTTGTGGGAAAGCCAGGAAGAGGAACACTGCAATGTCTTGCACTGTTTTTCCTGGAGGGTGTTTTTTTTCCCCTTGACATGTCATTTTTCTATAGTACATACTTGCACAATTTCTGCCTTTCCCCCGACTCGTCTGTTGCTTTGTCTCTGATTGCTGAGGAATTGACAAACTAGGGGATTTAGGTCAATGACAACTCACTGCAATGACCAGCATTGGAATATCTTTCGCTTAAGGGGCACAGCCGGCTTCCAAGACTGGGGCCAAGCCTCCCGCTGGTCTATCAGCTCTCCCTTGGGTAGAGCAAACAGGGTCCCTGGGGAACAGCAAAACTCATAGAGCTGTATTTTCTCATTGAAGTCAATGGAAGTCACAGCTAGAATGGGGCTTATTTTGGGTGTGAAATCCCCCTTAGGAGCCAGGTCACCGTCTCAGGCTACCTGTGCCACTCGGAGCCTGGAGACAGGGAGCACCTTCTCAGTCCCCTACACACCCAACCTGTGTGATCAGCCAGGAGGAGAGAAATCGTCCCCAGGCACGAGACGTGCCATGATGGAGACAGGAACTTTCCAACAGCTGCTGCATCCACCTGGCTTGGGTGGTGGGTGAGTGGAGGCACTCGTTCCGTCCCCAAACCGCCCGTGTCGCTGTCGCAGGGGGTTGCAGCGAGCGCTGCCCTGCCATGTCATCAAACAGCAGTGTCCCCATCCCAACATGCTGCCAGGACAGGCCGTCCCTCCCACACAGCCCGAGAAGTGTAATTGCTCAAGTGTTTTTGAAACCTTGTGAGCATCAATAAACAAGTGTGGGGTTTCTCCAGCAGCAGCCCACAGCCCGGGGAAAGCCACAGCTGCAAAAGCCCTTACGTGGAGGTTTAGTCAGACGTTAAGTGGATTTGGAATTAGACAACAGCAAAACGTCAAATTGCTCTTACTGTCACTGTACTTCACAAGTCTGCTGTGATCACAGCAGGGTCAGTGTTTCCCAGCACTGTGCAGCCCACTGGGCACCAGAGCACTTCAGGGACAGGCAATGCACTGAGTAAACTGTTTCAATAAACAAAGGCAGAGCCAGTATCAGTCACTGAGCTCCTCCAGGTCACAGTGTCCAAAAAAGTGGCCACACTCCCTCCCTTTCACTGGCAATGTCATTTTCTTACTGGCTAATTTGAGGACGAGTCCGTGCCAGCCAGAGGGATCTGCCTCCTTCCCGGGGACGCCAGGAGGAACTACAATAGACAGCCGGACATCCCTAACAGATTTGCTAAGCGGGACGGCCTCCAGAAAGGAAGGGCAGAAGCAAGCCTGCTGTTTATCAAATCTGTAAACATGCCATGCGAGATGTGCAGCACAGACTATATCTGCAGCAAGAACTGCTTTCCTGTTGCTCATCATTACCTCTCCTCCAGGTACAATAGCCCTCCCCTGTGCCAGCAGCACCCGATGCTGGCAGGCAGACCTCTCTGCCTGCCCAGCATTTATCTGCTCAACCCAGAGGCATGATGTTGGTTTGTGACGGTTGAGGTCTCCCAGGATTTATTTTGACGGAAAAGCACGAGTTGTGGAGAGAGCTTCTCACACATTCTCCCTCATTACACAACTCCTTTCCAGACCATGTGCGTTGTTAAAAGGAAATAGTGAGTTCATGAAAACAAATGAGTGTGCAACCTGAGACTGCTTCAGTAGCTGCCTTATGCTGTCATTATGGATTTAAAAGATGTTGCCAACCGGTACACAAAGTTGGGTGTTATTTATATGAATCAGCTTTGAATTACTGGGCATTTGCGCACGATCCTGCTGAGAAGTTGACTATAACCTGCCAAAGCCCGTGATCAGCCCCGCACAGGACCTGTGGAGCCCAGTGGAAAGTATCATTGTAAATTAGTCAAACTGCTCCTGCTGAGACGACTCCAGCACTGAAACACAAGACCCAGTGCACCTCCTCAGGCTCTCAGACACATTTTGGACCAGATCTTCATCTCGTTTAGCTTGGAGTAGTCCCACTGAGCCCAGCGGAGTTACTCTGATCTCAGACGTGATCTGAGCTCGTTCTGATCCAGGCCTTTTGGCAATACAATTGAGCCTTGCCTGTTGACTGCCGAGCCACCGGCCTGGCTGAGCTCACCGGAGGCCACGGGAGGCTGCGCAGAGTCAGCTTGAGGCTCCAGGAAGCTTTCCACAGGAGCATCAGGCATGATTTTGCCCATCAGCAAACTGTTTTCAGCAGCAAATCAGTGGGATCTGGCACTAGGAACAGTCATTAGTATGGAGAATAGAGCAGAAATTACTACAGCTCATGCACACAAATCCAGCAGAATTTAATCAGCAGAAGGATTGTAGCAGCTCCCAAAGGGAGCGAGCTGATTCATCAGTTGAGAGCCCCAAAATACAAAACTGTCTGCAAACACGATGAGCCACAGACTCGTAACTTCATTAACTGTGCTTTTACTCAACTGCTTCTCCATCCTGAGCAGAACTGAGCCTGAGTTCTTGGAGCGAGACGGAAAAAGTAGAAAAGCAAAGATATTTATTTCAGCCTGCTGAGTGTTTACAACCACAGCGTTCAGTTCTTCATGAGTTTGATACCTTCACTTTACTTAGATGTTTCCCTCCACCAGCCTTCTTTGTGTCATCGAGCTTAGCAAGAGTTTCACTATCATATGTTTACAGAAAGTTAAACATAGTGAATCACATCACTGAAAGTTGATGGGCCGTTATCAAACTCTGTAAAATTAAGGAGCCACTGGGTTGCCCTGCATTTTTCAGGGTTTGTTAGTGCAAGGCTCCAGTGCTGAGCTCAAATCAATGTAATGTCTCAGAGCCGGAGGATGGGAGAGCCCATGTGCCGGTCGGAGAACCGCACAATGGGCACCCTGCACTGGGGTAAAGTTGTTCAAAGCCCTCTGGATAAATGGTGTGACAGCTCAGAGCAAAGCACACTCTGTGCAGAGCATTCAGACATGGAATGAACTCCCCAAGTGACGCAAGAAACCCCATGAGTGGAGCAGCTGCCTTTGGGGAGCGCCTCAAAGCCCTCCTCTCTGAGGAGACCTTTCTGCTCTAAGGGTAACACAAGACTGATGCTTTCTCTCGCCTGAAGCCTCCCAACCAGTCCCACAACAAACAAAGATCCAGAAACAAATGAACTTAATATAAATACCCAATAAAAATATGCCTACCTAAAATATAAGATACCCCAAAATCAAAGAGTTTTATTCAAAAGGGGAATTACCAGAAATTATAGAGATTTTTTCTTCCATGCGGAAGGCATACAGACACTACGGTGATGGGCACCAGTATAAATTTTAAAAGACAGTTGGCACACACAGTTTCGACTCCAAGGAGGAAATAAATTCCCCCTTAGGCTCATGTAAATCATGGGAAACCTCCAGCACCCAGGGAAACTGCGCTGAGGGAATGCTGAGGCTCGTAACCACATGTCAGCAGAAGGCTGCAGTCCGTGGGTACACAATAAGCGTGCCGGCGGGCAGCTTGCAGCACTGGGGAAGCTCTGCAAGGGCCATGCACAGTGGGACGGTACTGCTGCTCTCTACTGCGAGCAGGGGATTTTCAGACTAGGAACAGGGATAAGCTTTTCATGTGAGGGAAACCAAGCACCACCGAGCAAATGGAAAGTTTCTCTGCAGATCTCTGCTGCAACAGACCTCTGCCCTCCCGCTGCAGCTGTGCCTCAGAGCAGGGATGCTGCCAGCCCTCGCTCCACCTCCCCGGGGCTGGTGAAAGACTCACCACTCGGGGCTTCTGCTGGTCCAGGGTCTGCAGGAAGGCCGGTGTCTGGTCCAGGGTGCGCTCGGGGTCACTGGAGATGTCCTCCTCGGACTCCTCCCAGGATGAGGAGAAGCCAGTGGAAAAGGCTGAGGACGACGACAGCTTCCGGACGGGCAGGCTGCCGGGGGGCACGGCGCCCGCCTCCTCCTCCGGGCCCCCCAGGTCCGTGACGATGACAGCAGGGATGCTCCCACTGATGGTTGGGCACTGGCCCTCAAGTCCTGTGGGGGCCACCACCACCTCACCGCGCCATGGTCCAGGCTCTGATGGCTCCAGGGGGCTGCTGCCTTCCGCCAGTCCCACGGCTGGGACCACCATCACCACTGGCCTCCCGGAGGGCTCTGCAGTGCTTGGCCAGACCTGTACCCCACCAAGACTGGGGGCCTCACTCTCCCCATAGGCTCGTGGCCGGGGTCCGGTTCCAAGTCCCACCATCGGCACTGTGGGGCTGGCAGGCCGCGGCCGGGGTGAGGATGGCCGGGGGCTTCGCGGTGGCTGGGTGGTGGAGCTGTGCGCCTGGATATGTGCCTCGAAGAGCCCCACTTTCTGGTTCACCTGAACGTTGTGCAGCTCCCGCTGAAGTTGCCGTGCCGTAGGGGGTCCTGGCTGCCCCTCTTCTCCCCGGCTGCCCCGCC